GCCAAAGGCATGCTTACCAGGATCATATTTGCTGCGTGGGAGAGAGCATCGAAGTAGATGAGTTCTTTGATTTCACGAGGCAGGGTAAGGAGAGTGGAGCTCATAATGTTGGAAAGATATGTTGTAAGGGTTTGCATGTAGTTACTGGGCTCGGATACTAGAGAAGGTGCCATCCTAGAGTGGGTGAATCGTTAGTCAAGTTCAAGAGGGAGGATAATAAATCGAGAGTTCTTACCAATCGTAATCTGCGGTCTCGACTAGATCGTCTATCTTGGAGTTTACTACTTCGAAAATACGCTTTTCCGCGTCCTTCTTACTGCTCGAGAACTTTTCTGTAGCAGCGAGAACAATTGGTCCACCAGCTGATGTGGATGATCGTGCGGCTAAGAGAAGTTGTTCTAATTCTCGACTCGCTGATTCGAAATACTCAAGGTTTATGAGGATTTGGACAATCTGGCCCAGGTACTGAGTACTCAGCTTTTCCACTAGCGGGTCACAGATATCCTCGGACAGGAGCTCATCTATCGACTGGAGAAGGCCGGAATTAGCTTGGATGATAGCAGCAATGTAGAACTAGTCATGCATACCTTCTTAAGTGTCTCATCAATAATATTTGGCTGTTGAAAGTGATCATCCATTATGAAGTAGAATCGATTCAAGAAATTCCTGATATCTATACAGCACATCGGGTACATCTGGGAAAACGGCAATACACCAGGGAATCTAAAAATCGTCAGAATGATAAGAGCAGATGACAATTCTTTTGACTTACGTGTATTCTTCTTTCGGCTTGTCGGGAACATACCAACTAACTTGAATGATTTTGTCAAAGTCTTCTTCGCTATTGACGGGCATAGGCATGTATTCATCTGTAGACACAATCTGGTGAAGGTCAGCCCCATTCCAATTACAACTGAGGCAAAACTACTGACCTGTTGAAAATCTGTACTGAATTTCCGTTTTAACAAATCAGCATATCTGTAGAAAAGCTTAAGCACATAAGCATCTAATATAGCCACTGAATATCCCCAACCCTAAGACCCAAAGTTAGTACTTTAACAATTTACACCGTGCTTTGCAAGCTTACCTCCATTGTCTGGATGAACAATGCTATCACATTCTTGGTTTGAAGAATAACATCCGGGTTATCGAAATCATCCAAAGCTTTGGAGACTGCGTTGATGGCGGCATGACACATCGAATCCCACAACTCATCAACCTAGAGAATTTTAGCCGATGTACAATCTCTCAACGAACAAAGTTTGGCCTACATCAACTGGGGAACGCAAATTATGGACTTTCCGCATAGTAGCCTTTTCTATTATAGCGAAGCCAGCAATACCTTCCAGCAAAGCACTTAAGAAATGTTCGCTCTCTTCATCAGTCAAGTTTACGGAGCTGGGAAGCAACAAATCTTTCTGCTGCCTTCTTGTGGCAGCATATTCGCTTTTGAATTTCTCAATCTGACCGAGTGCCTCGTGAATATGTAAACACTCAAATAAGGGGTCGAAATCAACTTGGAGCTCCTCATTGTTCAACACGTCAAATTCCTCACTTTCATCATAGACCAGCTCGATGGCTGAATTTAATTTGAAGTTTCGAAGATACGGATTTGCCTCCATGCGCTCCTTCTGCCTGCTCCGTCGAATATTTGTATGATAGAATGCCACTTCCCCTAAGAACTGAGATGTCTCACGAATGCGATAAAGCCAGGTATTCAAGTCACTCATTACTGCTTCTGAGATAGCTTTCTGCGAGGAGGGAATCGACTTTTGAATTATCTCTGCGAGGGTATGTTGGGTAGCATATTTGTTCTGAATTGTTGGAATCAAATGCTCGTTCTGTAAATCGTCCAGCGCCTTGAGAGCTGCATAGTATTTCTTCTTCCGTATTAAATCGTGTGCTTGATTGACGGCATGCAACACTTTTAAGGATTCCTTCAACGCCTCAGAAGCTTCCGCAATATTCTGACGAACAGATCTTGTGTCCACCAATGCCTCCTTTTGTGCCGCCAGCTTTTCTGTGCTTGCCTGAATGGATTGATTGAGCTTTAGAATTTCAGACGTAAGCTGAGAAGTTCCTTCTCGAACTTGTTGGAGCTGATTGACAGATGCTAGGAATTCTTCGTGTTTTGTCAAACCAATCCGTTCAATGTCAGCCTCGCGATCGTCCGCATATTGTGATAGACTTCGTATGAGTCCAGTAGTTCTATTGGAAAGGGTAGCGTCCTTTAAGGCGGGTATCAGTTGATCCAGATAATCGGCATCAGAGGAAGACAGTATAATCTGTTTCCGTGGGTCAGTTATGGGAGTAGTATAGATATTGTGACAAGGCATACCTGTTGAACAGCTTGCCTGTAATCATCATATTGCACAGTTTTCCGAGGCGGCATACTGAGGAACTTGGGATGCAAGCTTGAGATAACAATCTAGACCATGAAAGGCTCCAATCTGGACCATAAAATGAAAATGGAGAACTACTCGTAATATAATATTCTCCTCCTCCCTTGTGGTTTCCTGTGGATGTTCGAGGGTCAGGCTGAAGGCGGATCGGATTAACCTTGGGACTAGGTCAAGCTCGGACTCACAACCACCTAGGCTTAAGATACAACCCTCTTTTGATGGAATGAAATGGCAAGTCTGCTCTTGATAAGCACTGTCTGAGTCTTTGTGGTGTTGAAAATGATCTCTTGTGCCCCTCAACAGACTCGCATAAAGTGTATGTATGGTATGATAATAATTCCAAGAGACTCCTCGAGAACGTCAAAGACGTAAATATATGATTAGACAGAAGGTTGGGAGTTCGAGACAGCTGTGAAAGAGAGATGTGGAATTGAATGGCTTTACTCAAGTTACGATGTAGTTGTGCACATCAAGTATACATCAGAGTCTGAGTCCTTCTATTACTTGATCTATTACCGAAGATGTGCCGGCTTCAAGTATTTTCAATTCATCAAGCCGCCGAATAGGGTTATATTGCTCTCCTCTTATTTCTTTTCAGGCCTCTCATATATATCTATGAGTGCCGAAAGAATGGTCAGAAGCTTTCAACCATCACTTCCTCGGGATATGAATTAGATCTATTGAGAGTGATGATCTTGGATGAAGTATCAAATTGTCTCGAGATTCGCTAGTGCTCAGCAATACCAAACCTTCTTGACGAAGAGGAAGGAACGAAGGGGGGAATCTTCATGAGAGACGATCGTCGATGAAGCAAGAGACTTGATCGTCAGGGTGCCCTTTTGTTTTACTCCTATGATTCTACTGGATCTGGGTATAAAGATTATCCCAGTTCTGCATTCGGGTAGGCTCAATCCAGATACCTTCTCGTTAAAATAGAATTAATTCGTATCTCATCTCAACTCAAAGCCAGATGTTTAAGGCAACCAGCTGTGGTGAATGGAAGGAGGATTGCTGAGTAAGGATCAAGATACAGAAAGAAATCGAGTCCAATTGAGGGTTGAAATCAATTCACTCGACCACTTGACTGTTGAGCAGCCAACAAGACTACCTAGCTGATATGCCGTACCCGTTTTATCTTGGGATAAATCCAGTTATAGGTATACGGCGTTCTTCGTGGACAGCGATAGATCTTGGGCGGACTATATGATTTCCAGCTCCAATCCAATAGCTCTATGTCACCTGTGTATTTCCTACAGTGGAGATGGTGTGTCAATGGACGTTTGGTAGTACAAAGTTCAAGGAATATTCTACCTGTCTAGTAGTAATTCCAAGTCCGAATAACCTGTCATGCCGGTTACTTTATGAGGGTTTCTCTGGTCCTCCGGTAACAATGATAGGTTGGTCATTCACACAATATAAATTTTAAGAGAAAATTCTGATCAGCCTCCCGAAAGACCTTCCCCGTCCCGTCTTTATTCCCGGCATATAAGTACCATACTAGGTAGGTACTCGGGTATCATGTGACCTATCTAGTATTTGTCGGCATATCAAATTTCAAGGAGATTTCCATTTTGCAGAGCGGGATCCCTCCCCGCTTTGTTCCTCGTGGCAACAACTACAGTGCTTCCGAAGCACTTATCGGACACGGGATACAAAATGTCAAGGGGATTCCAATTGTCTACCTGGTAATTCTTGTAGGTATCTACATAGAGGTACTAGGTACCTTGGCGTCTCCTTTCCGTCGTGGCCTTGATTACTGCCTCGGCGGAGTTACGGCCAATTAAAGAGGGGCATGGGAAAGGTGAGGATTTCACTTCACGTATCATTATTGTTCCAGGAATCGCTTATACTTCACATAAATAAAAGACAGCGAGATCGTCATGACAAGAGCAAGACACACAGAGAGCACAACCACTCCCAGTATAGACAGTCAATTGCGGATCTTGAACGTTCTCATTGGATACTGGTATACCAGTACCTCCGCAGTAGGTATATATATATGTATATATATATATGCTTAGAAGAAAACAAATAAATGTGTTCGACTCCCATGATGTACCTAAATTTGACGCTCATGGTGCTTTCCGGCTTCTCTCCCGAGATCGGTTCATGGTTCTTGCCCATTTTGCTCATGCTTTCCTAACTTTCTCAAGGTGAATACTTAAAAATTCCCCCTCACATCCACCTGGAGGCAATCCACTTTTTATCAACATCCTCCTTCTTCTCAAAGGTTCTTTCTTATATCATACCAACCTTGATGAAATTCACTGAGATTTCTTTGCCCTTCTTCCGACTCTTCCCACTTGTAGTCTTCGATGCACTGTCCTTGATTACTTGAGATTCTCTCATCTCCTCGACTTTTGTTCTTTGACACATACACGAAATAATTGGGGTTGTTCGTTCAATCTATAATTCTTCAATCTTCAAGCATCTCAGCGATTGTCAGATCATCAATTGGGCAATAATCTCTGACCTACAATCACTTTGAACTCACAGACTGCCATTTTCAAGAACTTGCACAATTTCCACGTCCTGGGGACATTCATTTTTGACACATATTCTTCTTGCCCTCTGAATCAAGAACTTTGTTTCTTAAGCATGTCGTCATTCAATCGTTCATATGGTCAATCACCACCTTCCCCGGTGTCCAATGGCGCTTTTGAGTCCATCCAAGGAACTCCCAACACTGCCATCACTGCCATCTCTCCGGAAGATGCCAGAGTACCCAAGCAATCGGCAACAGACTCGCGTGCATCTACTGTTACTACATCTGCTAATCAACATGATCCTTTTGTGACAACTGGGACCACCACAAGCAGGGCTTCGGCTCAACTTTCTGCGACCGCTTCTGCGTTTCAACCCCTGCACCTCTATGGGCCTGCAGTGGGTGCGCCAATTACGGGAAACCTTATCGCCAATGGATCTGGATCTACTACTCTCATTCCAGGTACAATTCAGTATTTGGACAACGTGGTAGCTTCTCAATCACCAGTTCGTGAGTCTGAGGTTACCAGCTATGGTGTAAGTTCTGATTTCTGTTTGCCAACCTTGATAATAGTCGCTGATAGTTCGTAGAAATTCAGCACGGATACTGGTGCCACTCGTTGTATCAGAGTTACGGATATCTATCAAAAGGTAGATGTCAATAGTTGTGTTCAATATTCTTTCGAGGTTTGTTTTCCCCTTATCATTCGCTTGTTTAACATGTCTCTTTCTAACAAATCGTTATACAGAAATTGAACAAGGCTGGAGTCATCATCACTGGCGGAAAGAGAATTGAAGTTACAAAAAATAATGTTGTCTACATTAGGATGTCCAACATTTATGAGGCAGCCAAGGTTTATACTGCAATCAAGGTCGATCATGTCGATTGTGCCGTTGAATACATCAAGGTTTGTCGAAGTCTTCACTTCTTATTGAACAAAAACTAATATTCCGACAGGCCAATGAATTTGGTGGTGTTCGTGCAATCCTTCACTCCTTATGTAAACAAGAGCTAACATTACTCCAGGCTATCAGTCCTCAATCAAGAACCGTGTACTCTGCTCATGAGGGTCAAGTAATGCTAACTGCAACCTACCCGCCAAACACCAACATTGATAAGAAGGTCTTTGAGGAGAGTCTCCGTGACTTGCTGTCCGTTGAAGGAGAACTATATGCATGGCAAAAATTTCTTGCAACAGAAGCAGGCACATTCCGACTGTGTGCAGAGTTTGTTGATTCCGCAATGGTGGCTCGCGCAATTGAACGCTGCAACAACAAGCTCATTGGTGTATGTATCATCTCTCGTTCTTCACCTGATTGAACATCCCTGACTTTTGCACAGAATATTCTTGTTAAGTGCGAGATGCACACACCCGATGTTGCAAAGAATCGTGGCACCTCGCGTAACAGTTTGGCACAGGCTATAACTCCTACACGTCGCTCAGCTCCCCAAGCTGACATTAGTGATGTACTTGGACACATGTCCCTCCAGGCCCCTCAAACCCCTGTATTTCCCAACAATGCTGCAATGTTCAACTCTGGTAGCCCAAATCCTCAAGGTATCCAATATATGACCACAAATCATTATGGAATGCTACCATCCACTACAGTCCCATACGTCATGAGTGGTATGGGTGGTATGGGTGGCATGTACACCGGCCAGCCACTAGCCTTTCAGACAGGTTTCCCTGCTGCACTTGCAGCAAACCGACCCTCGCAGGTTATGGAGCCTTATGAATCTTTTGCTTCCCAGGTATACTCGCCACACATGTACGCTAGTCACTTTGCTCAACAAGGTGTCCAACGCTACCCAATCAGTCCACAGGCTTATAGTAACAACTTTGGTTACATCAGTCCTCAGACTCCCAACTCTCGCGACCAAGCCCGCAGCGGTAATCGTCGCCAGCTTCCCGTCGCTCGTACACCCCAGGGACAACTCCGAGGACGCGGTACGTCCAATCCCGCTGCCAGTCATCACAATCATGTCGATATTAACAAGATCAATGCTGGCCTTGATGTCCGAACTACTGTAAGCGTACAATCCTTCCCTCCAGCCTGCTCATTTCTAATCTTCTTCTTAGGTGATGTTGAGAAATATCCCAAACAAGGTCGATCAAGCCATGTTAAAGAGCATCGTCGATGAGTCTAGCTTTGGAAGATATGATTTCATGTACCTTCGAATTGACTTCTCGAACGACTGCAATGTCGGCTACGCTTTCATCAATTTTGTTGATCCTATGGACATTATTGAGTTCGTCCTCGCTCGATCAAACCAAAAGTGGCATCGATTCAAGAGCGATAAAGTTGCAGAAGTTTCTTATGCAACCATTCAAGGCAGAGACTGCTTGATTCAAAAGTTTCGCAACTCTTCCGTCATGCTCGAGCCTCCTCACTACAGACCAAAGGTAATTCTATTAGTGATTGATATTGTCCCATATATAACTGACAAATTGATGTAGCTGTTCTTAACCCACTCCGATGGAGCTAATGTTGCTGGTTTGGAAGATGAATTTCCTCCATCTGACAATGCTTCCAAGCTTAAGCGAAGCTGTGAGAATGCGGAACATGTTGGTGAGTTATCATCTAATCGTCTTTCATGTTGGCATTTTTGCTAAGACTTTGAAGGACTCTTTGCTCCCAGTGCTGGCCAGCATCTACGTGATGAGCAACGTCGTCGCCGCTCTCAGTACGACCGAGGTACAAGCCTTGCAGAGCGTGAGGAGTATGGCTTTGAGGATGATGAGGATGATCTTCACCGCAGCCCTTGTACCCAAGGTTTCTCACCACACTGTAAGATGTCATTCCTTCAATTCTCTATTCAAAGTACTTTGCCCAGTATTTTCGGTACTAACATTCTCTAGATTGAGTAGCTGGCTGGACTTTGACCATCCCTTCAAAAGTCATCCATACGATCTGATGTCAATTTGATGCTGCCCTCGTTGGTTTCTGCCGGCTAGCCATACTCTTATCAGATACCACATTTTTCTGGTCTGCTGATTTGCACCGATTTTAACTCACTTGGGGAAGTTTGGGTCAGTTAAACGACAAGCCTCATATGGTTTACATTTTGAAGCAGATTGGACGGACCATCTAGTTGACTGTTTCTATTTCTCTTCTTTACACGGAAAAGTTTATCATATTGCTACATATGAACTTGTTTCTTGCGACAACAGAATTCTTTGCTTAAATATACTACTTTGGCGATTACATTTGTGGTGGCTTCATAGCCCCGGTTTTGAGCCTAGGTACAACTAGCTTTTGACAATAAAATAGAAGAAATTTTTGCTACCTGTCGATTCAGTTCCCTCGTATGATCCTAGATGTGCTTTTTTTTATTGTTTTGAGTGAAATTTTCAATACCATACAGTGAATTAACTGAACTTCGCATAATTGTGACTGCCGCGCAACTGATAGGGTGTTGAATTTGAATGGGATAGTGGTGATGTATATACATGTAGAAAGAAGAAGGAAGAACGTCAGTGAGATATCATGGAGAAGGAGATGGGCTTGATAGTATATGTGAGATTGATTGATGGTGTTTTTCGGGATACTTTTGATTCTGAACTAGGGCTAGAACGACAAGTCAAGACACCCACTGGTGATCTTTACTTAACAAACCAGTGTCAGCAATGCTTCACAAATTTTGCAGAACTATGAATCGACCTGATGTTCCCTAAAATGTCTGTTCATTCCAAATGAATGTCTTTACAGACAGCTGCCACCTTTTGCTTCCACCCTTTACATTTCCTCAACATCAAACTTCCCATGACGAATGTGGGACTTGTGTCTGATTTTCTACACCTTCTACTTCTTGCGCGCCACCAAAGTTGCCACCGGCGACCTCCAAATCACGCCCCGCTTTCCCATCTCGACCGCCTTCTTCCGATAGGAATACCCTGCCCTCTTCGCTTCTTCGTCGCTCAATCCATTGCGCGATGCGAGCAACTGTATAATCAGCGCCTTGGCGCGCGACTGCCACTCGATGACCAGATCGTTTATTTCCGGTTTGTGATACGGTGCGAATGTGTGGTCGGTTACGTACACATCTTCCACGGGTAAAGTTTGCAGAATCTTTTCGACGTCGTCGGGTGGATCGTAGGAGTATCCTTGGGCGGACCAGTATTGGAACATGGTGTCTATTCCGGTTTTCCACGCGGGCTCGCTTGAGTCGGAGGAGTGGGTTATGTGGAGTCCGTGCCGGTAGGACATGTCGGTCCATTGGAGGTATCCGTTGGGTTCTGGGGGGGGTAGCTGGTTGGTTACGGTTTGTGGGTGTGGGTGTGAGTTTGGAAAGGGGGGTGGGGATGGGAATGGGAATGGGTTTTCTTACTGAGTAATTCGATTAAATTCTCTACAACACCTTTGATTTGTTCGGCTTTTAGGGCGAGCACGACGAGTCGTACATGTACGACGTCAAAGGTACCGTGGTATTCTTTGGGGAAGGTCTTCGTCATATCCCACAACACGAATTTGGTTTCCGGAGCAGGATTCTTGGGAAATTGGTCGGGAGAGATATCGAACCCTATTGTCTCCTGAAGGTTATACCCTCCATTCGCAAATTCCTCAGCCAATTCTCGGAGCCAAATGCTGAGTAAGAATCAGTACTGGGTTTTGTAATCTGAAGGAATAATGCGATCCTACCCGGTACCTGTTGCTATATCTGCTACCCTAGACACATTTTGCTTGGGGATTCGGGGGTCAAGAACGTGTCCGTCTCGGGCAACTCTGATGGCGTTGCTTTGTCGGTCTAGCCTGTGATATGTTAGTATGCATGTATATTGCGAGTTGAGTTAGTTCTTGCGATTCACACCTGTCTCTCTCTTGCTCGTCTCTTCTATTAAGCAAGTAAAGTTCCTGATCCGGTGACTCCACCTCAACTGTAGTAACTGTAGTAGTTGGTAACTTGGCGGTGGTAATCACGTTCTCTACCGCAGCAATTTCCATTCTCGATGCGAGTGATAATGATGAGTCCGTGTAGATTTTTAGAGTTTGAATATTGACACCACAGATAAATATCAACACAGAAGTTCAAGGAAGGAAACTCAAATCAAATGTTGACAATATCGAAGGTAAAAAAAAAAGCTCAAGTTTATATATGATAACTCTCAATACAGCATGGCTCTCAGTACCCCTCTTCATCACATGGTGCGGAAAAGGAGACAAGCCAACGACTAACCGAATCAGACGCGATGGCTATGTTCCATCGCAGCACACACAATTTTCAGCTGTCCACTGTTCAATCATGAGAGCATGTTTAGCGAATAGAGGCAGGACAAGCGATGGTACCCCTGTGTATACGTGGAAGTGTGGGGTGCACAAACCCCTGCGTCACCGAAACCCAAAAGTCTCATCGGCACGTTTACTCAATCATATTGAGATTTGCATGTTGAATAGACGTCTCAGGCCTGCCATTCTATAGAGTATTTTTTTTCTTCCAGAGTATTGTGTTTTCGGCAGTTCTGATCCCGAACTGCCGAATCACCCCAATCACGTTGTGTAACTTGACTAATCCACTGTTGAGACGGCTGATTTATGATTGCTCATATGAGCACATCTGGCATACTTGGATTTACTTATCAGTTAAACTAGTCCACATGTAGTGAAGTATCATCCAGGATTCATTAATAAATCCATAGCAGCAGGTCTCCGTGTCACTACGCTGTGCGCATTCTGACCAGTAGCGACGGCGACATTCGTAACCTCTGTTGCTATCTATTTTCAACTGATCGGAAGTAAGCTTCCGCGCTATATATTTTGTGTTGATGATTTAGGGGAATTAAGTCAGTGTAAAGGATTCACAGTGGCATATACAAGTTCCTACAAAGAACAAACTCTTCATGATCTGAGTCTATACTAAATTGACATATACATATCCGGTTTGACAATCTGATCGTGAATCTATGCATGTAATTCAATAAACATGTGGAGTACATGCGAGAGTTACATTATAATATTACCCAGGTAGTATTAAATATAAGCTAAAGCATCATTGCAATATGTCATCTCTTGTGATAGAAAGATATCCCATGGACTGGCAAGAGGAAGTCGTTGAAGACACACATCATATATCTAAGAGCGCCATCACAATTGAGCTATCTTACATTGTGATACTGTAGCGTTGTGGCAACGTGAGCTCAGTAGCCTTTAGCCACTCGATTGAATCCTTAAGCGCCGGTGACCTTTTTTCTCTGACCTTTTTTTCTGACCTTTTTTTTCTCATAAATAGCTTCTCTCTACCACATCAATCGTAACCAGTAGCACGTGATTGGATATCATCTAGCTTGGCAAGGAGGCGCACCAGGCCTTTGAGCCAGAGAGCTAAATGCTTAATTAATAGGCTGCGGATATTGTGCACAAACACGCCTTTCAGAATCCCCAATGTAGCCTTGCTCATGACATTCTGATCCCCCATCACGTCAAACCGCTTCATTGCCCATTCAAACTTTTGAAGGGAGTCGGCTAGATCATCTCTATTCTTATAATACACGATACATATGACACCTATAAGAAGTGCAGCGTCGCGCGTGTGTAGGTTCAGATAGCGATTTTATGAGAGAGGATATCGAACAAAGCTTTCTGACGGTTTAGGAACTCGAGAGTAGCTCTGAACGCTAGAGCCTTGCTAGATTCAGGTACCATTGAGAATTCCTCTGGGGAATGATATGTGTAGGATTTGCGTTTCAATGGCAAGTCACAGTGGCATGCTTCTTGCGTGGTAGAACCATGAGTGAATATCGACTGGCTATAGTCGCCTGCGACATCATCAAATGACATGTAGATAGAATATCTGAGTGAGCCTAAAATAGGATCGTACTCCAGTGGTGACAATAGGATGTTGAGAACGAAATATTGAAACAGCAACACAGGAAAGAACTTTATCTCCGCCGACAATTCAAGAGAAGCCTTTTTGAGCGTTAAAAAGGATGAACTATTCCAACTCTGGGAATTGTCTTTGAAAATATATTCATCTAATCGATAATATCGATGGTTGACTTTTCGGAAGAGACTTTCGAGGATGATTCGGATGATTGCTTTGAAGGAAGTCGGCGAATTAAGTTCTTGTACTCCTTTCGTAACCTGCTCTTGTCTTTCGCTATCAATGGAAGCTTTTGTAAAGAGGAACTTGGCTCCGCGTCGTGGCTCTATATCACACTCAAGATACCAAGCGTGATATTTTTATTCCCACTGGGCTTTGCAAATTCAAGTGCGCTGACCTGAGACATGGGGAAAGGCTCAAGCTCTATGACTTCAGATGATTTTTCGTCGTCGAATGAGACATTTATACTTTTCCCCAACAATTGCCACTTTTTGGTAATTTCTTTTCCATCATGGCGTGCCGATTGCTCGTTTCGAACAAGACAATTAGAGCAAGGACATGAGTGACCGCACTATAGCTTGTTAATACTAGAAAGAGCATTGTGCCTGCTCTAAAATAACGTTTGCTTGCACGGATATCTTCTGTGCGCGAAAACACTTTCCTATCCCTCTTACAACGGGTCTTCAATAAACTGCAGAGTGTCGATATCAGTTCTTTCCGAGGTGTTCTGTCGCTTTGCTCTCAGCCATGACTTTGCACGGGGAATTGTGTGTCTCTACTCATTATTAAGGACGACCTGTTGCGAGAGACTAGATCATACACCCGCACCATGGCTCACGTTCGTGCAGCCACACGATCTAAGAATCTGTGGCGTTGAGTTGGAGTTCCATGATCTTTTGGTAATCATCACACCAAGTGGCGGACAAGCTGATCTTTCCTAACATTCGGTCCCGTAACTGCAGCGGTCGTCATCAAACTCGACTGAACCGTCTCCGTGATACATGTTTCTTTCTATAGCCGACTCCATTTCTTAATACACGGTTATAATTTCCCATATTCAAGAAGAAGTATCGGATGATTTTCAAATGTGCCACGAATAGATTTGTTTTGACTTCAAATTCTCGAGCGGAATAATTTGTCCTTGGACGGAGATACTTCGTATCAAGATACTGTACTTCGTAGGGCTACGGTTTTCCCGATGAGGATCTCCCAAAGGACTGAACCCCACTCACTTCAAACGCCATCGTCAAAACTTCAGACAATAAACACGAGATTTTCAACTTCTTTACTTCCTTTCGTCCAAAATACCTTGGCATTGGTTTCATCATTGCCATCCTACTGCAAAAGCTGGTCTGATTTTTCGTGGTTAATCTATTCAAAGCTCATTGCCGCTCAAAGCCCCATCTTAACAGTCCCTCCCTGGCAGCGGGTCAGACGTCTTGGATTCTTTACTTATGAGGAGAATATCTTACTATTCTTCTGATTCTTAAACTCTGGGCAGAAGATGCGAGGTAGTAACCTTGCGTCCTGTATCACAATCTTCTGTCGAGGTAATGAAGAGTCTTTCGTATCTAACTTTGGAGTCAAAGTAAGCTTGCTTTGACTTCCAAGATCTGTCATCTGAAAGTCTGATACGGCGAACATCTGAACAATGTGATACAGCGAGCGTGCAGGCATGAGATGACGACTGTGGGTTGTTTCTGAAATCGTTTTCAATGGGTGGGAATGAGTTCCTATTCTTGCCCAGTACTGCGAAAGTACCGACCTCAGTGACAGGCAGGCAAAAATATTCCTAAGATCCACGTTGCCTGCAACAGATTTTGTAGGAGAATTGCATTATTATTCAGGAGGCGATATGAGCTATTACCCATGACGAACTTGTATCGTGAAGTTTTGCTGGTACACAGTTCTTAAAAAGCAGGAGAATTTTCCTTTCTACCATTTGTACATCTACATCTACATCCCCATCTCCATTTGTGTTTGCACTTCTTTCTTTTTCTTTTTCATTACACTTTAGACTCTTTCAATTCTGTACAGGATCCGGGCGATTCTTCTATAATCTAACTCTTATTCATTCATTTCTTAGTGCAGGACACCTTCCTTACCGTCAATATGTATACTTCTATTTTATTTCAAGCGGCATTATTGTCCGTCGTTCAAGCCCACGGTGTTATCCTTGCTGCTCAAGGTATTGCAGGATCCCCCGCAAGTGTTGGATTTAAAGGTAAACTTCCAACCTAAATTTCCCCATATTTCAGGGTTATTAATCTAATCTAATTTGCTTAGTCGACGATGCTATCGCGAGAAATTGTACCAGCATCAGTCCTTGTCAACAAGACACAACTATTATTCGTGATTCTGAAATTGCAGCCAACATCGTCAATGAATGTGGCCGTACAGAATTGAGCGGCAACATTGATGTAGGAGAAAACACCGAAAATGCTCTCTCCGCTGGTGCGGTCACAAAAGTCAAAGCCGGTACACTGATGACCGTCACCATTCATCAAGTCAACGCAGATGGAGCCGGCCCCTACACCTGTGATCTTGACCAAACCAGCAATGCTGGTGTCATTTCTCAAAATTTAACCGTCACCAACAACGTACCAGGAGTCAACGGACTATCCCAAGCCAAAACTCAAGACTTCAACATCACTGTTCAAATGCCCGATAACCTTGCCTGCACTGGTGCCTCCACTGGAAACATCTGCACCGTTCGTTGTCGCAACAATGCCGTTGCTGGTCCCTTTGGTGGTTGTTTTCCCGTTCAACAAACCGATGTCGCTGCTACCAATAACAGCGCCAATACTATCTCTACCGCTCAAACACTCAAAGCAATCGAAGCACAAGTCCAAGAAAACAACGTTGATCTTCCCGTCGCTGTTGCCGCTAATCAAGCCGCTGGTTCTGCTGACGGCGTAAAGGGTTTCAATGGTGCTAATGGTATGTCAATCCCAATCTCATATTAAAAACACACAACTAACAAAACGAACAGCCCTTCTCAGCGCTTCCGTAACATCCAAAGCAGCCCCCGTTATGACCCTCGCTGTAGAAAATGTAGGCGTCAACGCAGCTGTTGCATCTACAACCACAACCTCATCCGCAGAAGCAACTGCAACTACTGCCGCCAAAGGAAACGGCAAAGGAAATACCAACGCGAAGGGTAACGGAAACGGAAACGGAAACGGAAGAAATAATAATAATAAGGCAAGAGAATCGAGTTTGAAGTGGGCCAGTAGACTATTTGCGGCTGATAGCTGGGAAGAGCCTTCGAATTAGAATCTTTGGTGGTGCTATATAGTGATTTGCAAGTAGAAGATGGGAATAGACACCAGTGGTGCATGTCAAGAGATACCTATTTCATGAGAATGAAAGATGCTTTTTTTAATGTATATAAATGGATTTGGAGAGATAACTTTGGGGTTTGTGGATATGATATGTGGACACGGGACGAATGAATTCAAAGATTGGAAGATTGACAGATGTCAGATTATTCGTGCTCTGTGAAATTTGAGTTGCAAGTGTGTCGAATATGCTTTGAAAAGGAATAACATCTTGGACCCAACTGCGTTACAATGTACCAACATAACATTGCATCGTCTTAGACACCCGTGATGTTCAGATAATACACATGGACGATAGCTCTTGGATCTTTGTATCCTTCTCGATCTATCTAAACTATATTCCGAGTCTTCTCGTCGGAAAATTTCACCCATTCTTTTCCTACGCCATTATGGATGCTATACATCCATCCATCCAGATACAGCTCTCACCTGCATAACGCACTTTCCTCGACACATCATACAAGAGATCACCCCATATCATCATTTCATTCACTCATCAGACACATCACATTACAAAATAACACAATTCCACCCATTGAACAAAGCAATAGGTACCTAGATAGATAGATTAATAAGCTAGTAAATTCGTAAAGTAAGGTAGCCCTAAGTTTTTTTTCTTCTTGGTCATCATCATCATAAGTGTAAGAAAAATGTATTCATTCATAAGTCATCAATCATAATATCGAGAAAATCAGTCGCCCGCCAGAAGAAGCGCGAGCCCCTAATGCATGCAACGCTTACGCATAACATCACATCATGTTTATGTTCATGACCCACCCACCCGCCAACCATCTCAAACGCTCAACAGGTTTTCCTCCATGCAATGCATCGCTATCCTCGCAAAGAGTGTAACCGCCGTCTTCATCACCTGTAACAATCAGACCACCATGCATAACCACATTATAGAAATCCTCCCATCATCTTCCTCTCGTGTTTTCCTCGCCACTCGCTTACTTGCTCACTACAAACAAGTAGGTACGTAATCACCACAACGCAACCACCCATCATCCAATCTTCAAAGGCAAAACATAGAGGAAAGTTGCCTCTCCGTAAAGACCGTGTACAGGAAATATCGAGTCGCCTCATTTTCACCACGAGATTCCGGTGCTGTGGTACCCAAGAAAATCGTGGCCCCATTCGTCATACACAATAGTATTTTGCAATAGTATCTGTATTTTGTAGATATTGTAGATTCTTGATCATTCCGCTCCAAACAAGAAGTGAATTCATGAGAAAGCAAGGAGGAAATATAAGAGAGTAAAGGAAATTCGTGCAGTTCGTTGATCTCATAATGATGTGAATGAATGAAAAATGAGTATATGTAAAGATTCGTAAAGGAAGTCGTTAATAGCAACGTGCCAGTGGAATATTTTTTCCTTTTGATAATATACCGCCCGTGATGATCCGTCTTTTTCGTGGATAGTCGTAAGTCGTAATTTTTCATTTGCCTCGGGGTCCCTGCTGTATCGTTTCATGTATAGGTGGGTAGCACTTAGTGCATCGCATTGCACCAGCATGGATTTGCCGGCAGTCACTTCTTAACTGCCGACCGTCATTGGGTATCTGATATCTCTATTTTCCGATTCGGAAGATGTGCTCGAGGAGCTGCTACTGAGCGTTACGGAATGTTGCCGCTGACGATCATTTTTTCTCTTGTTGCGGCTGGCCGTCTCGCTGGCAGGTAATCCTTGGATGACGCCATTACGAGCCAACATCCCTCCATTCACTGACGACTGACGGCAAACCATAAAGGCCTGTGTGGCCGCATTCTCCTGAGCCAAGGCATCGGTTTGGTATGCTAGATCTGTTTGGTACTCCTGTCCATTGACGAGAACGAGACAAGTGAAGCCTTGTGCGTCGCGGTACGTCTTGTACTGGGGACCTTGCCAACCTCGTCGACGGCACAAATCTGTCTACATGTCAGCGGGTAGACTAGGGATTTTGTTGCACAATTTGTATTCTGAAAGTGAATGTAACGCTGGCGTTCATAATAATGACCCCATCAGGAATAACATATCCATTGGGACGTGTTTGGTAGCGCAGCGGGATTATGTATCTCAAGGAGACGGTAACAGATGAACATAGTGAGGCGATCAACTCAGCCCTCTTTTTATGCAACGCCCGCCAGGGCAAGGTTATACCAAAAAGCCCAATCGAATACAGATTCCCACTGAGGTGATGAAGAAAAAGTTCCGAATTGATGAACCAACGTACTCTCTAAATATGCCATGTAGAACCCCATTTTGGTATTCTTAAGATGTCAGAGTGTGATCGGATCCCCAAGACAGAAGCTATGCCCGTCGTCTGAAGTGTGGCAAGACACCCCGTCCTCGATCGATATCAGGCAGTGAGTATGCCTTGAATGTAGATAAGTGCCGAACGCTACAGATCTGACGATATGGATGCAATTGAGCCCAATGCTTGAGGTATACAGGGAAATATGCACACACTCAGTGCCGTGTATGTGAATACAATGATGTATGGATAGTGTTGTGGTGTTGAAGAATAAGGCTGACTATGATTGAGTGGATGTTCTAGGGGTTCTGTGCAGGACTTTCCTTCATTAATGGCGAGACATGTGTGATTTATTGCAGAGTCTAATGGTTAGCGTTGAACAAGGAGCATGGAGTGATTTCCCGTAGCAGGATTGAGAAGCTGTTTAGATAGGACAATGGCTTGAACCATCTGCAAGTCATGAATGCGGCTCTTTGGATATGATGGCGAGCGATGTGTTGGCGTGTGCCGTTGCCAGTGATATAATATCAACATAATTAGGCAAACTCCACCACAGCATGGGAACGCATAGAAGCGATGATCTTGGTTAGCTTGAACGTACCAAATCTCCGTTCTGAGAAACGTCTGCAGATATTGAAATTGTCGATGCAGCGGGGTGGCAAAAAGAGCTCGCGAGATACCTTGTCCCACTGACCCGGACAAAATATGGGAACATGCCATTACCATGCCATGGGGTGAGTAAAAAGTTTGCGGACCGCGAGCAGAGAAAAAGAGCCAAGACTCAATGGATACTGTAGCATCATGGATGGATGGCATAAAAGATGAGTAAATCTTCAGCAATTACGGACTGTTTCCCAGAGAGATCCGCTGGGTTGGCCGCTAATGCACAGAAATCGATGGCATTACAAAAGTACCAAGGGTCCAAATGCAAGGAAAACGTCAATATTGCTCGCTAGGTCAGGGACACAATCCTCCAGAAATTCATCTGATTGTACCTACCATCTACCGATACATTGAGATTGAATCCTTTGACCCCAAAATGGCTTGTGCTTTCCTTGAAATGGTGCCATTGAGTGCTTGTTAATAACAAATGGGGAAAGATGAAGGCGCTTCCTGATCTCGGGATGTGTCTCTATTGCCCCGCACTACCACGGTACATCGGGGGTCGTAAAGGAGAGACGAGAGAAAGAGAGAAAGAGATCGCAACAAGCAGCGCGATTGACGCGGAATGACTGGAGTACGGCTTGACACGAAGTCGGTGAGCCTTCAGTGCATGAACAGTGGCTGGAATTGACCGGCCTTCATCATCGAGTATTGTGCCTCAATATTTGTGATAGATGATTCGCGAAGGGGATCAAGAAAAGATGCGAGGCAAAAATCAGCCAGGTCTACTACTAACCGTAAACAAGGTTGTGGTGCGTATGCTTGATGAGTTGGCAGTGCGCTTGACATCTCAATAGTAATGATTATATGCCGTTGAAATTGAAAATGGTATAACGGTAAAGTATATTAAGCAAAGCGTGAAGATGCCGTAGATCTAGAAGTTAGCAAGTCGCTGGTCGGATGTACTCTAGATGTATGAAGTGTGTAGACGACTCCAGAGTCTGAACTTGGGAGGAATAAGTTTGGGAACATTATTCATTGATGGTTCGTGGAAATGAAGCCTTTTCCCCTTGATCCCTTCATGGAACAATCAAACGCCGAAAATAACCAAACAAGACAAACAACCTTATGCAACACAAAGTACAATTAACAATCTTATTAATCGTACCATCTTTCGAAATATCCAGAATTAACAGCTTCCTCTTTGGTTTACTGTTTTCATTTACTTGGAGAGATTATGGGAAGGACCGTCGTACCGTCCCGTAGTGAAGATTCAACCGTTACATTGACCAGGTACCTGGGGGACTTTCTCACAATTGAGCCATTGGCAGACTTCCCATTGCAATCGAGCGAGCATATGTACCAAGTAAGAATCCTGCAGGTTTCCAATCGCCAGTGATCATACCGAGAATCCTACCGTCTGGTACGAATGCAAGCTCGGGGACATTAGAATACGGCCGTGATAAGTTGATCTGACATGGGAGAAGATGGATCGAGATTTGAATCGTTCCAATTTGCATCATCTACAAGTTTAACTTCCTCTCACTCACCCCGACCTAGGTTCCGTTCTACTGACCAAAATAGGTGGCGAGTCGGAAGGAATTGCTGTAGAGGGAAGTAGTTGATTCGTAAGTACGCGATGTGGGTTTATGATACAAAAAAAGTACAGGACAGTGGAAATGGCCTGCAGGTTGCAGCTGTAGCAGGTCCTATGCACTATGCAACTAGCGAGTAAGTGAAGGGGCTCTCTCTTTCTCCTCTTGCGAGGGAGAGGGGAAATCATCCTGATTCCTGTACGGTATACCTAGGTACTTTAAGCAACGAAGTGGAATCAAAATGCATGTGCGGACAACAATTACTGAAGCTGGAACTTCTACATACAGCATCTAAAGTACAGATCAATATTAGTATCTATCTCCGAAGCTCCCCCAAAGTCGGGAACCCTCTCGGATCCTGGATCTATTGATACCGGTACCATGATACGACATGTCCTCAAAAGTCCAATACAACAACACAACAACACACACACAACACACACAACACACACAACACACACTTCACATGGTCGACCCAATCTGCATCGTCTTGCCATATCCACTACTCACTACTCACTCGTACAAGAATAGAAGAGTAATTGGTGGTACCTTGCGGTGAGCTCATGACGATTCAATGAGACCGAAAACAGTTGGTAGAACCCGAGAGAACCGACCAATCTTCAATGTGATGTGGGGGGTGACCTCGACCATCAGTTTTCCATTCGATCTTCTCGTTATCCCGATGAATTGGCGAACCATGAGAAAAGAACTTCCCCAAAGCATCCACTCTCGGTCTCCACTTTCCCACCTGTCTAGTAAAAATCTACTCGGTATCAAAACGGAACAAAATGCGAAAGGAGACCTTTATGCACTTCATGCAACTTACCAAGGAGCTACAGCACCTAGCAATCCAGTCTCTTTATGATCTATCATATGGATTTCATGTGGAGAGAGATTAATGAATCCTTCGTTCTTTTCCGGAATTGAGCGAACAGTCCAGTGCGACGTATCTCGTAACTGCCACCTATGTTGTCATTGGGGTTAATGTATCTCACAAACGCCGCTTGCTTTTCAATCAACACAATTTTCCAGTCGCGTTCAAATGTTGACTATGTTGGCAACAAAGAAGGAAGAATAAAATTCAGGCCATTCTCAAGCTCAGCCTTCACTAACCCATCGTTTGAATATGTCTCGTGGGAAAATAGATTATGTACATCACGTGATATATAAAGCCCACCCCCGTCGCCGACGAAGTGTGAAACTGGCACCATCTATATGTGCAGATTTTTCATCCCATAAATAACCATCCCGAGCCAATGTGATTTCATCCCATATATTCAGAAAGTTGGTACGTTTTAAAAGGTCCCTTTTGAAGCGAAGTATGCCCGGGTCTCCTCAGCAACGCCTTCTGGTATCACGAAAACCGGGTGGAGAGTCCCCACCCTATCCTCTTCATCATATATCTGTGTTGTCTCAACATAAGGCTCGGCCGTCCATTGATACGGTGAAACGAGCGTTCCACTCGATTCCGTTTTCTGTGCAGACGTGTTGAAACGCCACTTGTGCTGTGCGGAACTAAGACCTGCCAAAACATAGCATGTGTGATACGAATCAGAGCGACTATAATAGAAGATCAGCATACATGTGGAGCGGAGAAGAAGAGATCGGCTCTTCATGCTTACTGGCTGGGCTTATCCCTCAATCCACCCCGATTTCCCGTATCCTGACAACAGCAGAGGATGTACCTGATCAAACCGTCGCGGCTGTAAAGATTTACTGAATCTGGATTCGAGGATAGCCCTGTTTGAGTTTGCTGCGCTGGACCTTCAAGGCATGCTTCCAATAGAGGCCAACATCCTCCAACCCAATGGGAGTAGCACCCGTCGACTAACTTATTCGTGCGACCTGAGAAGCCGCCTTCCGGCGCATATTGACGTGCTGATAACCATGAAATAAAGCCGGGTACGTCAAGATACCTAAATATGTATTAGCATGGAGATTCGTGGATGACTAGATATACAATTTTAACCTACTGAGGTATTGTGATGTGTGGTTCACCTAAAATACACAAACAGCCTAATGCTAAGAACGCATACGCGCCATGGGCCTCGACGTTAGGTCGAGCACCTATACCGCCCTCAAATGTTTGACCTATTCTATTAGCACAAGTTTTAATTTCTTCTTTGTTTTGAACATACATCTTGAGATCCATTCCGGAAGTCCATCGATGAAAGTGGTATAGTTTGATGATCTCGCGGGAGCATCTTGAGGAAGATCGAGAGGTAAACTTAGGAGTGTAATGAGAACCAGAGCACAATATGCACCACTTTGAAAATATCAGTTTTCCATCCTCCATCGTCCTACTTTCGGAAAGCTTACCGAATATCTTCCTCGCCACCCACAGCCATTCTAAACCCACCAGTAGACATCTTCAAGCTACCTAGCCATTTCCACATGGCTTTGCGATCAATGATATCCAACGCTTCTTGCCCACCTACCATGGAAATTGATAGAATGTTTGCATAGGTAGTCGCCAAATGTGACATCTGCCCATTTCCTCCACCAAACCCTCCAGTCGCATTCTGAATGGGTCGACATGTTGAAATGATTTTCTCTCCATACGATGATACGTCTTCTCCCAGGGTCGAGAGACCAGCCAATGCCCAGTAGAACATCCATGGTCTGCTGGCATCCGCAGCGACATATGCCGAGGGCAATTTCTGTAGATTCTTATGAAGGAACTGAATGTGCTTTTTTCGATTCAGATGTGGAACCCCATATGGATTATACGTCAATCCAGCTTCTTTTCCCGAGAGAAAAGGAAGACATTCTTGAATGGTTTGATCTTGAAGATGAGATGTCTGAGTTTGCAACTGATCGTGGAGTAGGGGGTACTCGGTGAAGGTATCGGGAATCATATCTATAAAAGCCTCCGCTGTGATTGGTCGGGATGAGCCGTAAATAATATCTTCATCAGTTTCTGCCTCAATATCTGCTTGCGATGAAGAAGATTCTTGTATAATAAAACCAGGTGTTTGTGGTTGATTTTCTAGTGAATCATCATTTAGAAGTTGATCTAGTTTGCTGGAAGGAGATAGAGGTGAAGACTTTTTATTCGAGCCCTTCTTCTCTTCCATTGCACGTCGATTGAACTTCACACTCTGGTGAGGCTTCCTTCCTTTGATGATGAAAGTCATGTGGGTTGGATGTTTTTTGTCTAGGATTCAAGGAATACAATAATCTTCCATTGTGATTCGCTATTGGTCTTTATTACTGTTGTTTTACTGATCGATGCTTCGAGGTTGACCAGGTCAGTGCTCGCTTACAAAAATTATTACCACAAGAGCCAAAGAAGGCTACCTACCGAGGCCTGAAAGTCCGTCCATCTTTATCTACATCAAAAATCCGCATTTGGTTCATTTTGTACCATTGCCGACGTAGATTCTTTGTGCTCAAAATTCGATTGAAGGTCCAATGCAAGCAACGTTCCATACGTCTTCTACGATTTTTCCAAAGATCCCAAGGGTAACTCCGTTGCAACACATTTACCTGCACATTTGCATTCGCATTTGCATTTACATTCACAAGATGCAAGTTGCCATAAGGCGAGACTGCAAGCAAGTTAAATCTCTCTATTTTGATAATTGGGCTGTCATCCTTCGGCCATTGCCGACCTGTGATTACTGGTGGTACAGTGCTATTTTGCCCAAAGCATGTATCTGCAGATGTTGAATGCCAGCCAGGGCTCTAATTCGTTCGGCAGCCTAATCACTTTCACTACCTTTTGCTCTTTCACTCGTAGCACGTCGAATCCGCGTGATAAAGTACAATGGCGAAGGATATATGCAACTTGAGGATAGTGGCAAATAATTGTTGACGGCCCAAAGGAAACCTTGAAGGAAGAGTAAAGAAAGATTATCATACAGAGAACATGAGATGACAACTCTTTTCCGACACACTGACAAATCTCCAATTTCACAACAAAACGTTTCACTACTTAACATGGGGCGCGATATGCGAGGAATATGTCGGCATGCGCTGATTTGCAGAACGTTTTCGGGTTGACCAATGAAGAGATCCGAAAGGAAATTCATCCGCTGCAGGCGTGTGTGGTGCTGAGGCGTTTTTGCATGAATTTCGATATGCAGCTATCGAAGGGATGGCCCGTTCTATTAGAGGATAGGATACGAGGAATTTTTAATCAAGAAGCCATCGTGGGTTACACTGCTTGGATAACACCTGCTCAATCAATACATTTTGTACGTGAAAGCAGGTATGGGTGCCAAGTTAATGATGGAATCGCGAAACGATGAGGGGAAGGAGGGGTGGAAATGAGGGGCATAAATGTTAATCGCATATGGCGGCTGTTCGTTGATTGCTTTTTTATCTTATCATACAATCTTCGTACCTGGTGGTGTCTCAGATCTCGTTGGCACATTGTCAAAGTCCACCAGTGATTCATCTCTGTGGTGCGAATGTAGACACATATTGTACCCGACAAGATAGTTGAGATATTCTTTTAATCCGAAGTTCTTTCGATAAAAGGCATTTGTGAAATGCCGGTAGATTTCTAGTTAGGTACGGGGCTGTTGTACAAGGCGAATGTAAGCAGCATAGCGTTAATCATTGATGAAGATCGATCATCTACGATGTATTATCACTCCGATAAGAATTGATTGTGATTGAGGTTGAATTGAGTTTATTGTAGGACGGGATTCCCTGGTTCACTGCTACCTCAATGTGGCATCTCTGACGCCTCCTTCGTGTAGAACATATGGAAACGAGATAAAAACTTACAGTCGATGCACGGTAAGAATCCTCATTTTGATTACTGTACATGTGAGTAAATGGAAGGGTGGTCACCATCTTACAATATTCTTCCAGGTCCCATCACCCATACACAGGATACCTGACCGGTTCCTACATGCAAAGTTCTTGTAGAGTCAGTTCTTGAGATTTGACAACGCTTGAAACAAAGTTTAGACCGAATTGGAATTTTCTGGATTGTGATAGCTCGGATGCTAAGCTCACTCTACCCTCTCGGGTCTAGGCGAGATCTGACATACCGAAGCCATAAAGAGAGACGTGCACTCAACAAACGAGGGGATTTTGAACAAATTTGAGAAAGATTTCATAGGGAGAGGCAGAGAGGGTCCAGGGGACCATCTTATCATCTTTGGCGTCGTAGATGTGGTTTAAAAAAAGGATATAAAACTCCAATTATAGGATAGATCCCACAGATAGTGATTGGCAGAGCAACCATTGAGTCAAAATGGAGACCTCAGCCATCTCAATTGGAGATTCAAAGGTCTTTAGTCGGATGTCCAGAACCTTTTCTAGCAATCGCCACTGAAATCATTCGATCTCGTCTACTCCGTCCCATATAGCGTTCGGGAATCTTTTTCATGATTTGTTGTTCAGTAGATTTTCATGTACTGTACGGGGTACTATTGACAGGTGTTGTTCTTGACTCAAATTAGTGGTAAGTAGGTAGGGAAAGCCTAGCATCCGCTATTATATAGCCATTGTTTTAGGTACTGCGCCGCTAATTCGACCATCAATCGTAACTACTTACAGGCTATTTCTCCACTTCCCTAACTTCCAGCCCCTCTTGAAAAATAGAGGGTTAACTTACAGTTGGAGCCCACTACGAAGGTATCAAGCTATTCTGAGTCTTAAGACTCCTTCCAATCACTACTGCTTGTTATCATCATGGGTGAGCCCTGAAAAATTCTCTGTCTTCCAGGGACTTCTCCAAAATCTACCACAGAAATCGAATCCATTGGACACATGACTTCTCTGCTCGCAGTAGTCTCATGCTGCCCCATGCAATAAGAGGACGCTTGTGGTTCCAGCCGTCACACCTGATTCGGCGAAGGCTTGTCAGTGGGCTCAAAATGGCTGGGGTCGTATAAGTTTGCCGAAATTCCACACCGCTCCTTATGTGGATCCTACCCTCACTCTACGAACTTCTACTACCAATAGGCCACACACCGACTAACATCGTGAGGTTTTCCTCTTCTTCAAAGAGCGGTGTCTTCGACCCTCTTTCTTACAATACTATTGATCATTCCAACAAGTAATCCGCGACAATGAGCTCAAATCTTGACTTCTCGCCAGAAGGTCTGTTAGACCTTTCGTTCGAGCAACGTGACCCACGATACCAATTTACCAATATGACTACGCGTTCGACTTGGCCACTGCCGTTGGATATGGCCTCAGGAGGATCTGACGACCGACGGGAAACTTCGCCAGGACATAGTGGACACCAACAGTATCAGACCGGACATCATCATAATTCTCCCACATTATTGGCAGATTGGCCGATACAACAGCAACCTCAGCATTTGTCACCCCAGCAACTTTCCCCTCAGCAATTGTCGCAATTTATCCCGGATAACTCGTTGATGGGACCACAGTATACATTTGGCAGCCCGTACCAAACCTCACCTCTCGACTATGGCTTACCTGCAACCACACAAGCAGCTCTCGAAGCCAGTCTCCAGATGGAAGCTCCATTCAACGGACTCACACAGACGGTTGAGGCACAGGCGAATCAATGGCAGGATTGGCATGAATTCGAGTATGCGATGAATTTTACCTCGAACCATGGAATCCCAAGTATAGGACGACAAAGTCTGGGAAGCAACTCACCGACGGGTACGTACTTGGAGGTGCTCTCGTTACCCAGCTCGAGTAGCGATCACGGATGGTCGACAGTCGATACGTACCAGGATTTCAACACCTATCAACAGGCGCAAAACCAAGCAATTTTCAACCCCGGACAAACACTACATTTGCGAAGTCACTCGGATTCATCGCAATCCGACGGTCATCAATCGATAGATACGTTTGGCAGTTTTGAGGATTTGTCAGGATACCCATATTCGCCGTACTCACCGGGCTCGGATAGCTATTTGGATGTGACGGGCGGACATAGGAATTGTTTCCACGGCGAAGCACACCACCACAATCACGATATTATCAGTCCTGCCGCGGCCGTTCCCCCGCAACCCATCCAAGCTCCATCTACGAAATCCACAGCGGCTTCAACAACCTCCAACCGTACCTCTCCATCTAGCACCTCGTCGCCTCCCGCGAGAAGAAACTCCGCACCCCGCAAGAGCCCCACGGCCAAAGCCACCAAACCGGTCATTCGCCGCACTTCCAACGGAAAGAAGGATGCCCCCCCAACCGAGAAGCGCGTTGGACGAAGACGCGGCCCCTTATTACCGGAGCAGCGCAAACAAGCTAGCGAAATAAGGAAATTGCGAGCCTGTCTCCGCTGTAAATTCTTGAAGAAGACGTGCGATAAAGGTGAGCCCTGTGCGGGATGTCAACCTTCGCATGCTCGTTTGTGGCAGGTGCCGTGTACGCGTATCGATATCAAGGATATTGGTTACTTCATGAAGGACTGGAAGGCGGATTATGAGCGTCACGTGGGCAGAGGAGTGTCTGTTTATAATATCAAGGGATTCTCGCAAAAGGAGGAGTTGCTTTGGATTACTCATGGGTATGGATTTGCTCTGCCGATTATGGCGAGAGAGGTTTATGTGAGTGATGATAGTTGCTTTAATGTCGACTGGGTTGAGGGCGATCACGAAGAACCCATCGAGTTTGAAACTCGCACGGAAAGAATGTCTGCTGGTTCCGAAGGTGTCTCGACTGAAGCATTATCCGAGTACCTCGATAAACACATCGATGGACCTTTTGAAGAATTCATCGATGAGTACTTTGAGGGCACCCCCTTCATTACCGAGATTTTGAAGACTGCTCACCGCTACTACATGAAAGAGAAGGTTTCTGTCGTCCGCAAAGCATTGAAACTCGTTCTCGCCTACAACCTCACCTTACACGTTACCATGGTTGAGCAAAGAGGAGACGAGCACCCAATGGAAGGAATCATCGATGACGAGGACTCGAAATTCAACGGAAAGGTCGTCGCCCCCGTCATGATCAATTTCCAAATCAAATGTGCTCTTGCCGACATGTGGCGTGAACTTCAAAAGGAGATTCTCGAAGAATTGTCCTCGCTCTACTCCAGCGTTTACAGTGGTGACAGACTCAAGAACTGGCCTACAATCTTCATGCTTGCATCGATCCTCCTCGCCGTGTGGGAAGAAATGCAATTCGATTGTCATTACCGGGTTCCCGACCAAGCAGCCGTCAACAAATTCTGCAACGATATGGAAACCACCCCAGTAGGCGTCATCGTCGGATTATTCCATGCCATTTCCCAAAAGCTCCCTGCGTTTACCGACTGGGAAACCAGAAGACATGGTCAACTCCTCAACAACAACGTCGCCGTCTGCGAAGCCATGACTGAAATGAGAGGCCACGTAACCAAGCATGGTTTGTTCCCCTTTCACTCTCCTCTCGACTCAATATAACAAAACTAACCCACCCCACAGAATCCTACCTCAAAACCCGCCCGGACGCCAAATTCGACCGTCGGGACTTCGACTGTCTCTCCAACAAATTCCTCTCCAAACTCGTCATTCGCGCAAATTAATCCTTCCTCTCCTCCATCCATCCCTATTTGCAAATATATACCTACCAACCAACCGCAATCTATATAAACTCACCCCATCCCACCCTGTACAAACACCGTTACCCCCCGGTTTCCGGTACCAAGATAACGAATTCAATGCTCTTCATGACCATCCATGACATGACATGATATGAAAAAAGAAAACGATTGCAGGAATAATTTTTTCCACCTTTTCTCTTTCTCTTTCTCCCTCGGAGATTGGAAGAAAGAACGAATCAATGAAAAGAATAATTTGTTAATTTCCTATTTTTTTTTATCTTTATTTTTTTATCAACGGCATAGCGTTTTGGTTTTTTTTTTTCATTTTTTCATTTCTTTTCAATCTTTTATCAATCATCATCAACATCAACATCAACATCATTATCCGAAGCAAACAATCAAAAGTTTCCTCCTTCCTCCCCAACCAACCAAGCAACTCAACGACCCCCTTTAACGAAACAAACGAAATATATTTATCTTTATTGTTCACACGTACGATCAGATTTGTCGACTCTCTTCAAATCTCGCTCATACCATTGCAATCAAATAAGTCTACCCCCTTACGAAGATCATGGAATTTAAAGAAAAGAACGCTTAACGTTTACATGTCAATGTTTTTATGTTTCCACGGACCCCCTCATGTTTATTCTGTTACTATTCATTATCTATCCACCACATCATTGCGTTTTCTTTCCCACCTTCTCATGGAATAAATGGATGGAGAGGTGTTTATTTTTATCTTTTTATTTTCCTCTCATCGTCCATGTTTCTCTCCAGCGTTTATTTTGAAGAAGGCAGAAGAAATGATCGAAGTAACTGCCGAAATATGAACTCTATGAAAAGATTATTATTATGTATGGCATGGCGTGCATTGAACTTTTTATCTCGCGATTTGTTTTTCTCTCTCTCTTTTTGTTTATGGAAAGGGGAAATCAATGGGGCTTGCGATGGGATAGGATGAATGAGCGAAGAGCAATAGCGCGAGCGAGGGGTGTTTTTTTTTTAGCTACGAGGGAGAGAGAGAGAGAGAATATGGAGAAGGAAGAGGAGGATGTGTATACGAAGTTATTGGTTGCTGGACGCAAGAAAGGCATATTTTTATACATGGGGGGAATTTTCGGGGAGGGAAGGGTCGTAGATAAAAACACCGGAATTTAAAGCCTTTTCACTTGATGAACATTTGAGATTTTTGAGAAAATTGATAATTTGATGTGCGTGTACTTTGATATGTGCTTGTTGTGTGTTTCTTCTGGGTATTTAGATGTATACCTACTGTTGTAGTATGCTGTGCATTTTGAAATCCGAGTTTTGGATAGATACTTGTTTGTGTATGTTGGTTGGTACTTGCTCGTATACTTGTAAAATACCTTCACTTTGTATAATGAGGACTTACTTAGGTTTATCTTCGGTGATCTCTCGGATGCAAGATGCTGACTCTTGCGTTCTTTTAAATGCACGCGGTCTTAAAAGATCGCGGTCATCCCCGACTTAGGAATTGAAAAGATGAAATAAATTAAACTTTGAGATTGATCGGATGAAGAAGTTTGATGGTTGGTTTCTTGGAAAGAAATTTACATCTTTGCTAGTTTTTCAGTGTGAAGGCGTTGAATGATGATGAAATCGTCGAGAGGCAAAGCCAAATCTCGAATTCACGAGATGAGGGAAATTTTGTAGGCGTAGCCCAATCCTTTCAAGAAGCGGTCATATATTGGAGGCCCTATCAATGTAGGCGTGGAATGGCTGTAAACTTACTCGCATCTTCAAGAGTACCACCTACAAAGTATGAAGTATGTAGAGGTTGTACGTCCTAACCTCTCATCTTCTCATCGGTGTTCCATCCATTGCCGACTTCCCAGACAGATTCCGAGTTTTTGACCGGTGTCCCAAGGTATTCTCTTCGAAAAGAGTTTGCATCGCTGAGACCTCATTGGGGTTTCTGGTATCAGATACACATTGGAAAGGAATCGTACGTTCTCTCCCTCTCTGAACCTTGGAAATGGGTCAGCTGCTGACCAAGTGTACCAGGAAAAAGGATTTATTTATGTAGGAGTATGCACACACACTGTTTCTCTGCTTCTGTATTGCGTTGTCCAATTTATGCACCTGCACTTGGGTCCTGAATTGGTCGGTCATGGACAGGCCGATATTGAAAGTTGACTGGGTGATCCCATTTGATTGCAAAATCAGGGATGTTGATACCATTTTCCCATTCCTTAATCTTTCATCTTTTATCTTTTATCGTGATTGGGATTGCAATATTGAGCATGGAAATGACGTATCATGAAAGGAAACCCTTTTTATAAATTCTGATGATTTGGAGAGGAAAGTAAAGTTTGGATTATGCGATACGTTGCTGCAACTTGCTAGTGCATTGCGAGATATTCTATGCAAGAGTTTGAAACGGAAAGTGCATCGCATTGTGTACAGCTGGCAGTTTTGGGCTGGGAGGTGCAGATTTAAACATTAAGCATTGAGACTGAGACTGAGACCAAGATTGAGAGACGATGAGAGAGGATGAGAGACGATGAGCAGAGAGGCAATTATTGAAACTGCAATACTGGTAGAGACATCTGATGGATGGGTCCGAGTACGGAGGCGATGAAAGGCTGCAGAAGAAAAAAAGAGAGAGGTTGGAAAAATGGTTGATGATATGATAAACGTTGTGCTTTCTTTCCATGATTCATTTATCTATTGATCCTCTTCATCGTAAGGCCAAATCCCAGTTGACCGAGACCGAGTGTAGGTAGAAGGCGGGGTTTGATGGTAAACTAATCCATTATAGGAAAGGTCTAGAGCTGATAAGGGGAAGTTGCTCAGTTCTCAAGGTGTTGACGGTGTTGACGGTGTTGACGTCCGGAATGTGAGGGCATATCGATCATTCATCATTCACCACGGGATGGTATTATCAAGAAGCAAGATGTGTGAATAATCCAAGACTGTATGGATATGGCACGTACTGTACCTACTACGTACGATGACGAAGAAGTTATCTAATAGTGATCTCGATTATGAAATGATGTATTCCGTAGAGAGTACACCGTATTGATTTATAATCAACCATTCATCTACTCCGTACTCCCTACTCACCCAAGGAGGGATTATTCACTCAGGTCCAGATTCCGAGAAGATTCCATGTTCCCTTCCAAATATGTACAGCCTCGGAAGATTCAGGCTGAATTTCTTTTTCTCTCCGTCCCTATTGAATAGAAATCCCTAGAAGGAACGAGTCAACGGTGAGTAAAGAAGGCGCAGCAGTACCTTGATCGTACTGTCCGCCTCCAGCTACCTATAGGCTATGGACCGGTGATTCATTCACTCATTCTTACTAAACTCTAAAAGGTGGCGTGGCGCTAAGCGATAAGGCAAGTTCAATGCGCTTCCTCCTTTGAATACCTACTTAAACACTCCACCTCACCCTCAAACATCTCCCTCTTTCTTCCATCATACAACTCCATCCAAACTCTCTCCACGATAACTTCTTTTGATTCTCAATAAATCATCATCTACAATATCATCTACTTCATCAAAAGATTAATACTACAAAAACATCATCATGCAGATCTTCGTCAAGACTCGTAAGTTGTCACCTTTCCGTTTGCCGCCATCGGGTGGTATCGCCACTTCACTTCCAGAAGCAGCTTCCATCAACAATATCATCAATAATGCCATCAAAACATCTGCTAACGTTTATTTGCTATAGTCACCGGAAAGACCATCACCCTTGAGGTTGAATCTTCCGATACGATCGACAACGTCAAGGCCAAGATCCAGGATAAGGAGGGAATCCCACCTGACCAACAGCGTTTGATTTTCGCCGGAAAGCAACTCGAGGATGGTCGCACTTTGAGTGATTACAACATCCAAAAGGAGTCCACGCTCCATCTCGTTCTCCGCCTTCGTGGTGGTATGCAAATCTGTAAGTTAATCATTATTGCCATCGTATTACGCCACAGTTTACTAATATCATCACAGTCGTCAAGACTCTTACTGGTAAGACTATTACCCTTGAGGTTGAGTCTTCCGATACCATCGACAACGTCAAGGCCAAGATCCAAGACAAGGAAGGCATTCCTCCTGATCAACAGCGTTTGATTTTCGCCGGTAAACAACTCGAGGATGGTCGTACCCTCTCCGATTACAACATTCAAAAGGAATCTACTCTCCACTTAGTCCTCAGACTCCGTGGTGGTATGCAAATCTTCGTCAAGACTCTCACTGGAAAGACCATCACTTTGGAGGTTGAGTCGTCAGACACTATCGACAATGTAAAGGCTAAGATTCAAGACAAGGAGGGTATCCCACCTGATCAACAACGTCTTATCTTTGCGGGTAAGCAACTAGAAGATGGCCGCACTCTTTCCGACTACAACATCCAAAAGGAATCAACCTTACATTTGGTCCTTCGTCTTCGTGGTGGTATGCAGATTTTCGTCAAGACCTTGACCGGGAAGACCATTACATTAGAAGTAGAATCGTCAGATACTATTGATAACGTTAAGGCTAAGATCCAAGATAAGGAAGGCATCCCACCCGACCAACAACGATTGATCTTTGCCGGAAAGCAGTTGGAGGACGGTAGAACCCTTTCAGATTACAACATTCAAAAGGAATCGACATTGCACTTGGTGCTCCGTCTTCGTGGTGGTCAATAAATGTTTATGATTCGATCTGCACATATATTCTTTAGGCGTTTTACGATGACCTGATCAAATGGTGTTATGGGGGCCGGGGTTAGCAGGTTCTCATCATAGTGCACTGGCATGTGCCACAATATTGATAGTATTCAATAGTCGAAACTATATTTTTGACATCTAACTCTGTACTCTTATGAATGTGACATTGAATATATGACTGTGATTGTGATAAGTATCTAAATAGTAAATATCAATGCTTCACTTCCTTATCGTACCTGAAATGGAGTTGGAGATAGTGACGGTGTTATGCTCCACTACATCCACTCATGAAGCTAAAGTGATGCGAGGCTGCAGCCGCACAATGAAATTTATACCCCAGAACCTTTCGTGTCCACAATACCTTGTATGCTACAACACCTGCAAAACTGCTTCTTAATACGAACGCAATTCTGATGCGATAAACTATCCACGATCCATATCTACTCCGGGCTTTTGATTGCCAAACGAAATTTTTCCAACGAGCAGCCCGCGCCACGGTTCTCGCAGACCCCCACCACGAAGCTTTCGCATGGCATTCGATTCATGCAGTCGTGAATGAAATTATGAATGAGTGAAAAAGTATGCCATCATACTTTTATCATCTCAAAATCGAATTGTATCCTTTACCAGATTCGGACCCAGAAAAAGTGAGCAGGAGAGAAAGGGAGAGGGAAATTTGGGTTCCGGGTGAGGGGACGGATATTTTTGGCTGCACTCCATCATCCACAGGCGGACCTTGCACCTGGCCGAAACATAAACCTGTCACTTGGGAACAAGATAGAAGGAGAAAGGGAGGCACTGGGAGTTCGGCAGGTTCTGTGCTAGAAGGAAACTGGAGAAGTATTACGAAAGGGACTGAGAATCAAATACAGGCGGGCAGTTTTCAGGGTGCCCAGAACGGAGGTCTAGATTCAGGAGCAGCAAAAGGAGGAGTCATTGATTGCGGACCGTCTCGACAGATACGACCTGAAGAGTCGGAAAATCTGGTTGTATTAACCACGACGAAAAGTTCACAATTGGAAATCGCACCTCCGAGCGCGAGTTTGGTGGATAAGAGAGATCTGCGAACTTCGAAAAGGGATTGGAGGTTTGGGAGGGTAAGGGTTGAAGCATTGGATATGGATGGTGTGAGGAGATATCATCGTAGAGGCGAGGGTAGTCAGGGTGGTATTGTCATGAATGCTGGACTAGAACCGGGTGGTCGAGTTACAAAGGCTAGATTCGAGGAATTACATACCATCGGGGAGAATGGATTGGAATTGAAGAATACGGAGGTGGGATGGGGAGTGGTGCATTTGTATAGGGAGGGGGAGGAAACACCTGGATTGATGGGGGTGGAAGTTTATAATGCAGATACTGCGGCGAATCCTACGAATGATGCACAAAGTAATGGGTCGAGTGAGACGGATGGAAAAGATAGTGCCGAGGATTGTACTATACTGTGTATACCTGCTGTGCCGAGTTATCTTACGCCTAGAGATTTCTTGGGATTTGTGGGAGAGAAA